AACAAAACAAAACAAAACAAAACAAAACAAAACAAAACAAAACAAAAAGATAGCATTGAAATTGGGGACATTTCCAGCCCTCAGGAGGCCAGGTCAGGCAGATCTCTGAGTTCAAGGCCAGCCTGGTTTACAGAGAGTGTTCCAGGCTACACAGAAACCCTGTCTTTAGGAGGGGGAAAAAAAGCATGCTACAGTTTTAGCATTAGGCAGTAGAATTATGAGGATTGGGAGCCTTGGCTATGTAGGGAGTTGGAGGCCAGCCTGGGCGTCAATATTATTTCAAATAAGTAAGTACTTTGAATTTGGAGAGACATCTTTTCTTTTCTACTTTTTTTTAATTTTTTATTTTATTATTTTATTTTTAATTTTTATTTTATTTTTGAGGCGCGTCATTAGCTGAGGGCCTTGTGCATGCCCAGCAAGAACTCTCCCACTGAGCTGAGCTATTTTTATTATACTTTTTATTTTGAGGCAGAGTCTCACTAAGTCCCGAGGCTATCCTTGAAGTGACTGTAGCTCAGGTAAACAGTTTTCTGTCCTCAGCCTCCTGAGTAGCTGGCATTGCAGGCCTGGCATGAGAAAAGCTTCTCAATTCGGGCAGTGTCTGCGGGAGAACCCCGCACTTGGAGCTGCCAGCGCTCTGCCTGAGCGCCACACAGCACCTGTGTGACACCCACATCCTCTCCTTGCAGAAACAGCGGGAGCCTGGGAAGGGCCGGCTCATTGTGTGTGGACACGGGACGCTGGAACGAGACGGGGTCTTCTGTCTCCTCAGTGATGACCACGGAGCCTCCTGGCACTACGGCACTGGAGTGAGCGGCATTCCCTTCGGCCAACCCAAACACGATCATGATTTCAACCCGGACGAGTGCCAGGTCAGGAGTCCATGGACTGCATGCACCCGCCCACACCACCACCTCCCCCAGGGCGCATTTCACAACAAGATTCAGCTCTGGCTTCCTCGGCCTCCTCATGTTCTCCTGTCCTCTCCCCCACCCCGCAGCCCTACGAGCTTCCAGACGGCTCGGTCATCATCAACGCCCGGAACCAGAATAACTACCACTGCTGCTGCAGGATCGTCCTCCGTAGCTACGACGCCTGTGACACCCTCAGGCCCCGAGATGTGACCTTCGACCCCGAGCTCGTGGACCCGGTGGTAGCTGCAGGAGCGCTAGCCACCAGCTCCGGCATTGTCTTCTTCTCCAATCCAGCCCATCCTGAGTTGCGTGAGTGCCCAAGGGTGGAGTGTGTGGGTGGGGGCGCCACGTCTAAACAAGGCGTGGACACAGCAGAGACCCACGTCCCTCGGACTATTGCTCTCCTAGGAGTGAACCTGACCCTGCGCTGGAGCTTCAGCAATGGCACGTCCTGGCAGAAGGAGAGGGTCCAGGTGTGGCCGGGACCCAGCGGCTACTCGTCCCTGACAGCCCTGGAGAACAGCACGGATGGAAAGAAGCAGCCCCCGCAGCTGTTTGTTCTGTACGAGAAAGGACTGAACCGGTACACGGAGAGCATCTCCATGGTCAAAATCAGCGTCTACGGCACGCTCTGAGCCCCGTGCGCAAGGACACCGAGTCCTAGACCCTGACTTCGCGGCTCTCTGCACGTCTGCAGAGGCTGCCTGAAACACAGCTCTTCCTCCAGACTCTAACCGTTTGCAACTCCTCTTCGAGAGGGAAGTCACTCCGTTATGACTTTACCCAGCTTCCTCTCCCGGACAGGAAGTCCCTCTCTCACCAGGAGCAGTCTTTTTCCAGAATGTTGGGCATGGCCCTTGTCCATTCTCTTTCAGGACAACGGAGCTGTTCCTT